GTTGCATAGTATTCCATAGTATGGATGTATCATAATGTAACCAGTCCCCTACTGACAGACATTCAGGTTGTTTCTAGCCTTTTCCCAGTACAAGCAAAGCTGCAAAAAATAACCCACACATTCCCCTTTCACCTGTGTGCAAAAATATGTAAGGCTAATTCTTAGACAGGAAAATACTCTCCAGGTGTGGTGGCTCACACCTGTATTCCCAGCCTCTTGGGAAGCTGAGGTTCTTGGGTCACTTGAGCCCAGGATTTCTAAGGCTTCAGTGAGCCATGATCGTGCCATTGCACTCCAGCCTGGGCAACAAGAATGAAACTCCATCTCAAAAAAAAATTAGCCCTTTCTCTGCAATATGAATTAAAAATATTTCCCCTAGATTATCATCTATTGTTTGACATTTGCTTATGATTTTTTAAACTATGAATAGTTTAAACATTTTAATATATGTGTGTGAGTGTTTTCATTTATGCCTTCAGTGTTTTATTACCATACTCTGAGACTTTGAGACAAGCCTGAGTAACAAAGTGAGACCTTGCCTCTATAAAAAAGTTAAAAAATTAGCAGGGCATGTTTTCACCCACCTGTGGTCCAAGCTACTCTGGTGGGAGGATTGCTTGAGCCCAGGGTCAAGGCTGCAGTGAGCTGTGATGGCAACACTGCACTCCAACCTGGGTGACAGAGTAAGATCTTGCCTCAGAACAAAACAGGCCAGGCATGATGGCTCACGCCCGTAATCCCACCACTTTGGGAGGCTAGGGCAGGCAGATCATGAGGTCAAGAGAGCGAAACCATCCTGGCCAACCTGATAAAACCCTGTCTCTACTAAAAATACAAAAATTAGCTGGGTGTGGTGGCAGGGGCCTGTAGTCCCAGCTACTCAGGAGGCTGAGGCAGGAGAATTGCTTGATTAAACCTGGGAGGTGGAGGCTGCAGTCAGCTGAGATCATGCCACCACACTCCAGCCTGGCAACAGAGCCAGACTCCATCTCAAAAAAAAAAAAAAAAAAAAAACGCCATCAAAATTTAGCAGGTAGTGGTGGTGTATGCCTGTAGTCCCAGCTACTAGGGAGGCTGAGGTGGGAGGATTGCTTGAGTCTGGGGCAGTCAAGGCTACAGTGAGCTATAATCATGCCACTGCACTCCAGCCTGAGTGATGGAGCAAGACACTGTCTCAAAAATAATAATAGGGCTGAGCAAGGTGGCTCACGTTTGGGAGACTGAGGTGGGCAGATCATCTGAGGTCAGTAGTTCGAGACCAACCTGGCCAACATGGTGAAACCCCATCTCTTCTACAAATACAAAAATTAGCCAGGTATGGTGGTGTCCATCTAAAAAATAAATAAATAAAACAAACAAATAAATAAATATAAAAATAATAAAAACTCCGAAAAAGTTTTAAAAAGTATCTTCCCTATTCTAAATTTATTTATTTTATTTGTGTGTGTGTGTGTGTGTGTGTCCGTGTGTGTGTATAACAGAGTCTCACTCTGTCACCAGGCTGGAGTGCAGTGGCACGATCTCAGCTCAGTGCAACCTCCACCACCTGGGTTCAAGGGATTCTCGTGCCTCAGCCTCTCAAGTACCTGGGATTATAGGTGCCCACCATCACACCCGGCTAATGTCTGTATTTTTAGTAGAGACAGAATTTCACCATGTTGGCCAGGCTGGTCTTGAACTCCTGATCTCATGATCCTTCCGCCTCGGACTCTGAAAGTGCTGGGATTACAAGTGGGAGCCCACTGCACCCAGCCCAAATTTATTTTTAAAAATTCCCCAAGAGGGCATATTACTTCTGTAGCATTCTTGGCAAAAATGCATAACTTCGGCCGGTTGCGGTGGCTCACGCTTGTAATCCCAGCACTTTGGGAGGCCGAGGAGGGTGGATCATGAGGTCAAGAGGTCGAGACCATCCTGGTCAACATGGTGAAACCCCGTCTCTACTAAAAATACAAAAAATTAGCTGGGCATGGTGGCGCATGCCTGTAATCCCAGCTACTCAGGAGGCTGAGGTAGAATTGCCTGAACCCAGGAGGCAGAGGTTGCAGTGAGCGGAGATCTCGCCATTGCACTCCAGCCTGGGTAACAAGAGTGAAACTCCGTCTCAAAAAAAAGAAAAAAAAAAAAAGGATGGATGCTGAACAGGCAAAAACAGCAGCTGTCCACCATGATGGGAGAATCCCAAGAGCCAAATCAACTGAGGGAAAAGGCACTGAGCAGAGAGAGAGGCAGAGAGCAGTTACCACACGCCTGACACTCTGCTACCCTTTTATCCCAACAGATAGCTGGATTGTCTCAGTTAATTCTCTCAGTGATCCCATGAGATATTGTTGTGAACTGATCTGAGCCAATCTTTCCCTTTGGTGGGTATAAATAGCCTTTCCCCACCACCTGGAAGAAGCTGGAAATGCAGGAGAATTCTGCTACACATACAGGAATCTACTACAGAAAATTAGCAAGAGGTTCAAAATGGTTCATACAGCCTTGATGAAGTACCTGACCCTTTCAGGAAAAGATCACCTGAGGCTGATGCAGCATTACCCCAGAGACAAACTTGTTACTCACATAAAAAATGTGAGTGTGGCCAGGCGCTGTGGGTCATGCCTGTAATCCTAGCACTTTGGGAGGCCGAGGCGGGTGGATCACAAGACCAGCCTGGCCAAGATGGTGAAACTCCATCTCTACTAAAAATACAAAAATTAGCAAGGCACAGTGGCAGGTGCCTGTAATCCCAGCTACTTGGGAGGATGAGGCAGGAGAATCGCTTGAACCTGGGAAGTGCAGTTTGCAGATCACGCCACTGCACTCCAGCCTGGGCGACAGAGCAAGACTCTCTCAAAAAAAAAAAAAAAAAAAAAAAAAAAAAAAGTGTGAGTGTGGATGAGGGAACTGAGGCAGAGAGGGAAAGGGGAAAGTGACCTCCTGCCCATCACACAACCAAGAACAGAAAAAAACCGCACTTGGACCCGGCAGGCTGTCTGGCTGCAGAGCTTGTTGCTGTAGTCCTTGCCCTGGGTTAGGGCTCACATCAGCAAGCTGGAATCTGGAAACCAGCAGCATCTAGTTGATGTCTGAAAACAAGAAGTAAATGAAGTCACCCGAGGAGTAGTGATCACCAGCACTTATGGGGCAAGCAGAGGAGACAACCCAGTATTATGTCCCCAGTAACTGACATACTGCAGGTACTAAGTATTTATTGAATGAATGTGAGAAGGAACAACCAGAACAGTGGTAGGCAAACCAGGGAAACCATTGTTCCAAAACTAAGGAAGCAAAAAGTACAAAAGAGGGGAGTGGGCCAGGTGCGGTGGCCTCATGCCTGTAATCCTAGCACTTTGGGAGGCCTAGCAGGGAGGATGGCTTGAGCCCAGGAGTTTGGGATCAGCCTGGGCAACAGTGAGAACCTGTCTCTACAGAAAATTTTAGAACTTAACTGGGCATGGTGGTGCTCACCTGCCATCCCAGCTACTCGGGAGGCTAAGGCAGGAGGATCATCTGAGCCTGGGAGTTCAAGGCTGCAGTGAACCATAATCCTACCACTGCACTCTATCCTGGGTAACAGAGTGGGAATGTTTAAAAAAAAAAGAGGGAGGGTGGTCAACATACTATATGCTGAAGAGAGGCCAAGCTCAAGTCTGAGAAGTGAGTCTGGATTTAGGAATGAGAAGTCATTGGTGACAAGCAGTTCCTTGGGGGTGTACCGGTAGATGTTTAACAAACGACTCTCCAAAAACAAATATATCTATGTATATACATAACTGTATGATAAATTGTACTGGTATAAAGTATGGAAAGCAAAAAATTTACAAATAAAAAGGCCAGAAGCAGTGGCTCATGCCTGTAATCCCTGTACTTTGGGAGGCGGAGAGGGGCAGATCACCTGAGGTCGGGAGTTCATGACCAGCCAGCCTGGCCAACGTGGTGAAACTCTGTCTCTACTTAAAAAAAAAAAAGAAAGAAAATAGCGAGGCATCGTGGCACCTGCCTGTAATCCAAGCCACCTGGGAGAATCCATTGAATTCAGGAGGCTGAGGTTTCAGGGAGCGGTGCACTCCAGCCTTCACGGCAGAGCGAGACTCTGCCTCAAAAGCAGGGGTGGAGGAGAGGAAAGCAAGCAAGCAAAACAGTTTCTCTTAAGTATTGCTTTTGCACATCCTAAGGGAAATCACCCATGTATGCACAACATTACGGTTAGCAATGTGCAGTGTTTCCTAAGACGAGGTAAGCGTCAAAGGATAAAGAAAAATAGAAGTCCGTTTTGTATTACCGAAACTCCTTAATTCCAGAAAGAAATTTCTTAATAACAGAGAGCCACATCACAATTTTCAAGAACAGACAAACCTGAGCGACACCACACAACAATCAAAAAACCGCTAGCCACAACACTCCAAGAGTTATTTTAGTACTAATATTTAACACGAAACAACGAAAAAAAAAAAAAGATCGTCAGGAGAATTCAGATAGGAGTAACCAGGGTGTTGTAAGTCCCGATTACGCAGAGACGTTAATCACGTTTCATGCACCTCCAATCATCATGTTTTATCTGTCCTCCGAAGAGGAACAGGTAAGGATTATCCCACCTGACGATATCTTAATAGACGGCGGATATTCCGGACTCAGTGAAAGAGATTCCGTTAAAAGCTAGGGTGAGTATACAACGCGTCGGTACGAGCCACCTTGCTATTTAACATCCTTCCAATTGTATTGCTATATTTGCTTTCATCTCTTTTAAAATAATTTTTTTCATTCAGCTGAGAAAAGGAATAAATTATTTCTTCCCAGAATGCTCCAATCATTTACGTGCTGGACGTTCTAACTGTACGCACTTTTATTTACATATCCCCGCCCACTTCCTTCCCCCAGACGTCTACCGTAATAACCAAAATAGAAGCGATATCAAGTATCTTACGGTCTGCAGGACTAGAAAACAGCGTAGTTGTTTTTTTCTTCAATAGTTAAGCCATCCCAATTGTCCCCTGAAAACTATATAACTCTTGATCTTACTACAAAACATATTTTATTACAAAACACTAAATACAATGCTGATAATCCCATACATCCAACACATATCCTCTAGCAGAAGCAGTTTCCAAGGGGAAGACTGAAGCCTATGCCTTTCTTCTTCCAGGAATACGAAGCGGCCTCCCATGTAGCCTTCGACCATCAGGAAGGTGATCAGAAAGGTTTCTTTTTCAGCCCAAAGATGGCGATGAATAAAGCCATTTCAGTGACAGCTGGAAGGGCACTACCGAAGCAGGTGGTAGATTCAGAAATCCTTTCAATATAAATATGCAAATCTCCAAACTAGAGACCCCACCCCTGAAAGTATAGGGCAGGTGGCATGGGGATGGGGGATGAAAAAGACTACAGGATCTCATGCATGGAAGAAGGGACCGGGTGGGGGAAAACTTTCAGATTTAGGGTAAACCTTCCTCCCTCATCCCCAAATATTGGGTGTTACCACACCTGCAGAAGAAAAAAATGTACCAATACGTAGTGCACTCCCAACGCTCAAATATGAAGAAGGACAGGGCCACGGATGCACTACAGTGAGCCCCAATGGCTTGGGAAGGCACCACAGTTAAGGAAAGTCTTTGGATCGACAGATAGTGATGGGTCAGAAAACATCAGTGGTGGGGTTGGCATCTGCACTCAGGTTCATCGCTTGCTCCCTCACCATATTGCAAGGGCTAGAGTCAGCAGCCCTGACTTCTGAATTGTAGGATGGTCATATGAGGAGAGACCAGAAGTAACTGCATAGATGGGACCTCAGGCTAGCCTACCCCACATCTAGAGGCCAGCTTGGACCCTTCAGATGAGAGGTAAGAGTAGGCTCTCCTACCATGCCACACAGGAGTGCTGACAGCGAATTGATATGCTCTGCTGGAATCAGCCTCCAGGGTTCTAGCACTCCTGGTTCACAGTTCTCTGACCCACGTGCTTCATTTCCTTTGCCATTTCTGAGTTCCCATTGTGCTTTCTACCTTTTGTTTGTTTGTTTGTTTGTTTGAGACAGAGTCTCACTTTGTCACCAGGCACCAGGCTGGAGTGCAGTGGCACAATCTCGGCTCACTGCAACCTCCGCCTCCCGGGTTCAAGCAATTCTCCTGCCTCAGCCTCCTGAGTAGCTGGGACTACAGGCACACGCCACCACGCCCAGCTAATTTTTGAATTTTTAGTAGAGACGGGGTTTCACCATGTTGGCCAGGATGGTCTCAATCTCTTGACCTCGTGATCCACCTGCCTCGGCCTCCCAAAGTGCTGGGATTACAGGCTTGAGCCACCGTGTCCCGCTTGTTTGTTTTTTGACGGAGTCTCACTCTGTTGCCCAGGCTAGAGTGCAGTGGCTCAACCTCGGCTCACTGCAACTTCTGCCTCCCAGGTTCAAGCAATTTTCCTGCCTCAGCCTCCTGAGTAGCTGGGGTTACAGGTGTGCCGTCACCACGCCCGGCTAATTTTTGTATTTTTAGTAGAGAATGGTGTTTCACCATGTTGGTCAGGCTGGTCTCAAACTCATGACTTCAAATGATCCACCTGTCCTGGCCTCCCAAAGTTGCTTGAAATAAAGGCGTGAGCCACCGCGCCCACCCCTCTTTACACACTCCTATAGCACCCTGCTTATCACTGAATTACAGATATGTGTCTGCCTCCTCCTCATGATAAACAAAAAAGGTGAAGTTCTCATTATTACTATTATTTTTGTAGACATAGGGTCTCACTATGATGCCTCAAGCAATCCTCCTGCCTGGGCCTCCCACACTGCTGGGAATACAGACATGAGTCAACGTGCCTGGCCGAAAACTGTTTTACTCTCATTTTGGGATTTTAAGTGCCTAGTAAACAGCAGGATTTAGCACATGTTTGAAGATATCCGAACTGGAGAGATTGGTTACAGCAGACACTATGGTGTCAGGTGGCTGAAGGGAGTCCTGATGGAAATGGTCGTGTGGGAAAGGTGAGCAGGAGGAAAGGATACAGATGAGGCTCTGGGTGCTGTTGAACATGGAGACTCCTAGAAGGAAACCGGCCAGCTCCACTGCAAAGAGGCCCAGAGTGACAGAGAGCGCGGCCACCAGCCTGCAGAAAGGAAGTGGACAGCCTCAGGCCCTTGGACTTCTAAGAACCCTCCACTCCCACCACCTCTCCGTTCTGACCAGCCCATTCCGAGAGAGCTCACTGAATGTCCTGCTTTTCATACTCCTCGGGGGTGAACCTGAGAGGCAGGCAGGCCTGGATGTTGCTGTCCTGGGAGCAGAGCAGAGAGGAAGAGAAGTGAAAAAGGGACGGGCGGCGAGGCAGGCCTGGGGGCGGCGGGGAACGAGAAGACCTAAGTGGGTAAGACACTGGGAGAGGGGCAAGATGGGGCTGGGACCACTCCGAGGTGGGAATAGGGGCGGACGGATGTCAGCCGTGGGTCTTACCCGGGACCAGAATAAGGTGATGACGACCACCAGATGCGCCAGGAGCGTCAGGAAGCGAGAAGGTACGAGCCCTGAGACCCGGCCCATGGCCCTTGGAAACAGGGGCGGCGGTCTCAGAGGCCGGAATTTCAAAGAGAGCGACTCCTGAAGTCTCCCTGCAAGCGGACAAAATCTAGACGAACGCCTCCTTCCCGCCCGCTCAGGCACCGCCCAGTTACCTTGGTAACTCCGTACGCGAACGCGGCGCCGCGTTCTCGAAAAACATCGCGAGAGCAGTATATTCTCAAGCTGCTGCTGGCCTCTTCCGGCTTGTGCAGGTCAGGGCTTCCCCGAATGCCATTCTAACCCAACGTTTGGGTATCCGCGCGTAGCCAAGCCCTTTGTTCCTGAGAGGGTGCGAGGTGGCACGGCCCCGCAGCGCCCGATCTACCCGCCCAGGACCGACGAACGGAAACCGACCTGGGCTAGCCTGGGGGCACCTCGGCTTCCGCAGTTGCCGGGAGCGGCCCCCAGCCCCTTCTACACCGACAATTGTGGATCTCCTGAGGCCGCGCCACCGCCATGCCGGGCTGAGGTCCGGGTCCCCGCCATGCCGAAGACTCAGACACGCTCCCCTTCCCCTCCTCCGTATGCCTTTAGCTTCCCACCAAGCTGGCCTCAGAAACAAGGGTCCCGAACTTGGAGAGGCGGTGTCCCTAGACTGCTCAGCAGTCACAGATTGTCACGGAGCCCCTGGATGTCTGAGGACCCCAGGCCTGAACTTTCCTTGAGGAAGACTGATTTCTCTCAGTCTAACTTTGCTCAGTTTGGTGAGGGATTTGCAGAGTGCAAAAAATGGCAGAGCAAGGGGACCGGAAAGGGTGGGAGTGGATGGAGGGAATGGACAGTCCCTGCATCCCTGGGAGGCTTGGAGCTGACTGGAACGGAAACTCAAATCAGATTTCTTTATCTCTTGGAGGTGCTGGGCCTCCGACATTACCCAGCTACAGTCCAAGAAGCTCTTATCATCGGCAACCTCATGACCTTTGGGTTTCAGCGCAGGTCCCCGCTGATCGGAAAGCTCTTTCTTCTCGCAATGCTGTCAAGTCCCATTCTCAAGGGTCCTCCCGGCTCATTTCCCCGGAGAACAACCGCTTCCTCTTCCTCACTCCCCGTCTCAGTGCCTTTAGCCAGTCTAAATATATGCCCAAGAGGCATTTCTCATTTCTTCAAATATTGTTTGTATTTACTGATTACCTAGTAGGTGGATTCTAGTCAGGGAGATCAATAATAGACATGCAAACAAATCCGCAAGATACTATATGCTATGAAAAGGGAAACGCTACAATTATAATTCTATAAAAAGAATGGGGCATTTGTTCTTAAACTTTATTTTAGAAAATTTGGCGCAGTAGCTCATGGCCGTAATCCCAGCACTTTAGGAGGCCAAGGCGGGCAGATCACCTGAGGTCAGGAGTTCTAGACCAGCCTGATCAACATGGTGAAAACCGGTCTCTACTAAAAATATAAAAATTAGCTGGGCATGATGGCGAGCACCTGTAATTCCAGCTACTCGGGAGGCTGAGGCAGGAGAATTTCTTGAATCCTGGAGGTGGAGGTTGCAGTGAGGCGAGATCGCGCCACTGCACTCCAGCCTGGGCGACAGAGCGAGACTCTGTCTCAAAAAAAAAAAAAAAAAAAAGAACAGGCCGGGTGCAGTGGCTCACACCTGTAATCCCAGCACTTTGGAAGGCCAAGTCGGGAGGAGCACAAGGTCTGGAATTCGAGACTAGCTTGGGCAACATGGTGAACCCTCGTCTCTACTAAAGATACAAGGGGGGAAAAAATGGCCCGATGTGGTGGTGGCGCATCTGTAGTCCCAGCTACTCGTGAGGCCGAGGCAGGAGAATCGCTTGAGCCCGGGAGGCAGAGGTTGCAGTGAGCCGAGATCAGGCCACTGCACCCCAATCTGGGTGACAAAGCAAAACTCCGTCTCAAAAAAAAAAAAAAGATGATTCTCTGTTCCAAACGGAGGGAGATTACAGAGGAGTCTTCTACAACAATCCAGCAAGAGAGGCTGAGGGGTTGTCAGTGAGATGGGGAAGGAGGGTCGGTGGACAAGGGGATTATTATTGAGAAAATAGAATTGACAGGATGTGGTGACTGGAAGTAAGACAGTAGGGGAAGGGAAGAGTCAAGGATGCATCTCCCAGTCTGGGTCTGGCCACTCTCTGGGAGTGCAGAAAGACTGGAATAAGTATGGCAGAGACATGAAGGTATCAGCAGGCACTATAAATCTGAGTCAAGAGGTGGGAGCCAGATTCAGGAGCCCTCATCACGCAGGAAATAGCTGAGTCCATAGAACATGTGTAGCATGAGGAGAGAAAATCTTACCAGAGGAAACCCAGGATTTACTGGGAGAACCGAAAAAGAGACTGGAGCTGGGCGTGGTGGCTCATGCCTGTAATCCCAACACTTTGAGAGGCTGAGGCAGGTGGATCACCTGAGGTCAGGAGTTTCAGACTAGCCTGTCCAACATGGTGAAATCCCGACTCTACTAAAAAAAAAAAAAATGTACCCGAGCGTGGTGGTGCACATCTGTAATCCCAGCTACTTGGGAGGTTGAGGCAAGAGAATCGCTTGAATCCAGGAGGCAGAGGTTGCGGTCATCCAAGAATGGACCACTGCGCTCCAGCCTAGGCAAGAGTGAGACTCTGTCACAAAAGAAAAAAAAGAAAGGAAGGGAAGGAGGGAAGAAGGAAGGAAGGAAGGAAGGAAGGAAGGAAGGAAGGAAGGAAGGAAGGAAGGAAAAAGAAAAGAAAAGAAAAGAAAGAAAAAGAGACAGGAGAGAGGAGCCACTTGGGAAGGGCCAGCAGACTAGTGTCAAGGCAACCATGGGAAATGAAGGCTCTTGGAGAAGATGTTGCCTGAAGTTGGTTAAGGCCAGGCCTGAGAATGTCTGTGGCCTTTGACCCCTCTGTGGTCCCTGATAACTTTCCAGAAAGCCACTGTGTACAAATTTGGCTTGGATGGGAAGGAATGAGATAGAGCCATGACCTCTTGTGCCATCTCGGCCTGTTGAACTCCTTTCATTTTTCAAGAAACAAATGCGTCTTCCAGCTCCAGGTGTTTCCCTTAAGCAGTTCCCAATTTTGTCTCAACCGCGGAGCTTTAAAAAATACTGATGTTGGGAGGCCGAGGCGGGTGGATCACAAGGTCAAGAGATCAAGACCATCCTGGTCAACATGGTGAAACCCCGTCTCTACTAAAAGTACAAAAAATTAGCTGGGCATCGTGGTGCCTGTAATCCCAGCTACTCAGGAGGCTGAGGCAGAATTTCCTGAACCCAGGAGGCGGAGGTTGCGGTGAGCCGAGATTGCACCATTGCACTCCAGCCTGGGTAACAAGAGCGAAACTCCGTCTCAATAAAACAAAAAACAAAAAACGATGTTTATGGTGGTCAAAATTAGAATAGAGGCCAGGTGCAGTGCCTCATGTCTGTCTGTAATACCAGCAATTTGTGAGGCAGAGGCGGGCAGATCACGAGGTCAGAAGTTCGAGACCAGCCAAACCAACATGCCAAACACCACCACCACCACCCCCGTGTCCACTAAAAATACAAAAATTAGCCGGGTGTGGTGGTGCGGGCTTGTAGTCCCAGCTATTTAGAAGACTGAGGCAGAAGAATAGCTTGAACCCCGGAGGCGGAGTTTGCAGTGAGATGAGATCCCGCCACTGCACTGCAGCCTGGGTGACAGAGCAAGACTCCAACTCACAAAAACAGAAAAAATTAGAACAGAGATTGCTTCTGGGAAAGGAGGAGTGGGGATCCTTAGAGAAGGGACATGCAAGAACGTTGAGTGATGGAAATGTGAACTGTGAGTTGCTCAGGTTTATGTATTTATCAAAACTCATCAAAATATATACAAGATTTATGTGCTCTCAAACAGTTGAAATACCGATATTTTTCAAAATTTTACATACCGATGTCAGAGCTCTTCTTTGGACCGTTTAAATCGGAGTCGCCGAACCCGGGGGTTGTGCGTGCGTACATTCGAAGGCTCCGCAGGCGATTGTGAAAGTGCAACCGGTGAGGAGACCTGCTGCTGGGGGAGCGAATTTCTCATCCCTTCAGGTGCCCTAGGCTCTGGCACTGCTCCATCACGTTCCGTCTGGTTCCTACCCTTCCACCCGTCTCCAGGCAGGTCCGTTACCGCTGGGCTGTGAGCTTTGGGTTCCCCTGGTTATCAGCTCGGGACCCTCTTTCTGGGCGTTGGCAGGACGCTGGGGGCCGGGCGGGACAGACCGCTGAGCCGGGATCCCATAGTCACTGCCCTGGGGTGCCACCCGCCCGACTCGTCTTACAGGGCCGCTCGGCGAGAGCAGATACCAACCCGCAGGTGTTCAGGGGGGCAAAAATTTCCTAGGTACCCATCCATGCCTCGATCACCAGACCCTGGCCTCCTGGCCGTACAGTGGTCATAGGGAGAACTGAATACGCTTACGGCCGGCCGACCTCGTGGCGCAACGGTAGCGCGTCTGACTCCAGATCAGAAGGTTGCGTGTTCAAATCACGTCGGGGTCAGTAGGGACTCCTTTTCCTTCTCTTATCAACTCCGTTTATTTTAAGCTACGGTTGACCTTCGGCGTTCACGTCAGAGAAGGAGCAATGTCTTTGGGGCCTGAAGCGGAGGGGCTTCTAGCACGACGTTTCGAGGCCGCCTCGTCTGGGCGGCACAACTGTCTCGCGGGGATTTTTGCGTTGGATCCAGGTACCTTAATTCTGGACGGATGCCGCGGCTCCTGCGAACAGGAAGAGTTCCAGACCGCTCAGTAGAGGGAGGAGGGTCGGGCAATCACGCAGGGGAGAAGATCTGTCTCCGATTTGCGAGTCTTCTTTCCAGAGCTGAACAGGCTCCCCTAAAATGTGCAGACTTCACAAGAGGCGGGCCCCACAGGCAGGAGTAAGAGTTCAGGCCCCAGAGATGGGAGACCCGAGAATCTGCCTGCAGACGAGGTGGCCGAGTGGTTAAGGCGATGGACTGCTAATCCATTGTGCTCTGCACGCGTGGGTTCGAATCCCATCCTCGTCGGCATGGAAAATGCTGTGGTTTAAATTCAGTTTTGTAGCATAAAAACTAGGATTTCTCTTGTTACTCCCAGTGACTCCATTCAGTTTCCGTGTCTTTCCCAATTGCATCTGTGCTTTCCGCTTTTCCCAATGCATCCGAGTGTTACGTCACACCTTTGTATTCATTCGCTGCAAGCGAGCTGACCTGGCCAAGGAAGTAAGATGCTACCTGTCCTTCCGGCGGCGCCGTGGCTTAGTTGGTTAAAGCGCCTGTCTAGTAAACAGGAGATCCTGGGTTCGAATCCCAGTGGTGCCTCTGTGTTTCTCCACGCTTTTGCCAACACTGAACTCAGCGAGGAGAGTTGCAGATCCTCATAGCTTCCATCCTGTGTGATTTACTCACTTGACCACTCGGTGCAGCTGCCGCACGCTGTCAGGTTTTTTGCCCTTCGTGCACATCGTACTTGAGCCTCGATCTGCAATTACACCAGTCGCATCATCTGTACTTGCCAGTACTATGGCTTGTCTGATACTCTAGGTGCTCAGCTTGTCAGTTTTCGTCTTCTGTTTTAATTTATCATAAAGCAATCCTGCAACTAAAGGTTTTCCCCTAGAGGACTCAAGAAGAAGTTTTCAAAGTTTCCTTTTGACGCATACATATCGATTGACCTGTTAGCTCAGTTGGTTAGAGTGTGGTGCTAATAACGCTAAGGTCGCGGGTTCGATCCCCGTACGGGCTAGAAGCTTTTTCAGAAACTTGAATCTTCCTCACCTTTTAGAGCCAGATAACGTCACTGGGTAACACCAGCGAAACATTCCAATCCCAGACCAGGAAGCGTACTGGAGCTTATTCTAAAATGGGCGTGTCTCCAGAGGAAGGTATTTAGAGAAACTGGAGTTACCTTGTGATCTCTGCTTCTACATCTTACGGCCACAGTATGTGGCTCCTGAACTTACTGTGTGAATTGTAAACAAGAGCCTGCTAGGGTTGGGACAAATCTATCTCAAAGCACGTGGCACTGATCTGCAGAGTGTGGGAATGATCAAGAATGGAGCTGACTAGTGTTCCCAGTCTTCCTCCGGAGCTAAGATTTCAATCCATCCAGCCCCTGCCTATTCATCAGGATCTGAGAAGACAATTTTTTCCCCTCCTCTTCTAGAGCACCTTGCTTAGATTTCTGTGGTCAGCGGATCTCTGGGCCCCTGTGCGTGATCATCTGTCTTCACATTTCCCCTCAGACCAGATGCTTAAGAGCGGCAACCATATCCTTCCCCACCGAGCCCGAGACACCCCCACACCCACCCCAGTCCCAGCCCCAAGGGAGCTGCGTGAACCACACCGACCCTCATTCCCATTCCTTTGGCTTATTAATCATTGCAACCCCACACAGACTCAGCCTTTGCAGCAGCAGCACTTTAATTCCACAAAAACTCAGAAAGCCAAAACTGATTAGAACACTCCACAATAGGTGGGATTCAAAACCAGCAACATTCTACCTGAACCCTGAGCGCAGTGAGACGCCTCCCACCTCAACCCCTAGGAACGCATTCCTCCCAGTTGCACCCCGGTTCTGGCTGGGGAAGTGGTATGGTAGAGGGCCAGAGGGCAGAATCAGAAGGCTATCCAAGCGCAAGGGTGCATCCTTGCCTGCGGGGGGTTTCGCCAAGGACGACTCAAGTTCCCACAGCCCCTGGCACCTGAGATGTGGCCACTGGAGTCAGGACAGCCACAGTGGAGGCTGGGGCTTCCTCTGTCCCTTTCCCCTGATTACATGTGGGAGTCACGTCCTCACCTTCAAACAGACCTAAAGCCCTGTGTTCCCAGGGTTGGTGCTCTAGCTAGGGAAGAGAGTTGGGGAAAACTGGGTAGCTACAGATGACCAACCGAATAAAAGCAGAGCAACATCCCTTCCCACCAGGAGAGCCGTTATAACTTCCCCATATACACCAGCCTAAGGCCCAGCGAGTGGGCGCCGGCCAGCTGAACGCATCTGGAAGAGCCTCCAACACACAGGCCTCCCCTCAGCGAGCACGTCCCACCAGGACTCCTTGAAGAGTCCTTTGGGTCCTGCTAGGCCCTGCCCTGGCCAGGCCCGGCCTCTCCCGTCCTCCTGGTCACTTGCACAGGGCCTCCAACACCTCCAGAGTACGTCGGATATCCCGGACTTGGCGTGCCAGCCCCTGAACTGGCTGCAGAGCCCGCTCCAGCTCCTCGCAGCGCGCCAGCAGAGTGTACATGCCCTTGATGCTCATGTCCACAGCTTCACCTAAGGAGTCCACAGCGTCGCGGTAGGTCTGGATGCAGCCCACGCTAAGTGCCGTCAGCTCCTGCACCGCGCCACCCAGCCCGCGAAGCAGACGGTCCACCCGGCTGCCCAGCTCCCGACTTAACCGCTCTAGATCCCGCAGCACGTCAGGGTCGATGGGGGGGATGGCCGGTGTGGGTGTGGGTGCAGGAGCTGGGCAGGGCCGCGCAGGAGTAGAAGGCGGGGGTGGAGGGGCGCCGCTTAGACGGATCTTGAGTTGCAGGTTGTTGGCGACAAAGTGGGTGAGGTCGCCGTGGCGGCTCACTGTGCCCTCGAGCTCCAGGGGACTGGAGATGGTGGCGCGACGTCCGCCGCCCGCGCCGGACTCAGCACTCCCTAAGAACCCGGCGCCACCGCACGCCTCGCTGAGCCCGTCCAGGCTGCGGCTGTCCTGAAGGCGGCTGGAGAAAGAGCGGCCGCCTCTGCCGCCCGCGGCCGCCTCTTCGTCGTTGTCTTCCTCCTCCAGCTGTTCAATATCCATCCCGCGGCCTGGTCCCCCTCGACGGCAGTCCCTCCCGGAGGCAGGCTTGCCCTCCGGCGGCGCCGGGTTCTTGTGCCGGGAGGACAGGGGCGGTTCGTGCTCGGCACCCGGCGCCCCTCTGCGGCTCCCGGCCCCAGACGGCATCCTTTGAGGGCCGGGCTCCTTCTCCAGAACCTCTCGTTCCGGCCGGTGGACGACGCTGCAGCTTGACGTCTTCGGGGCCGTCCTAGGATGGCGGTTCGCGCCCCCAACGTTCTCGGCCTCTTCCTCCCCGGACACCCGGAGGCCTGAAGGCGACTCAGAGGACGTTCGGTCCGGCCTGCAGCGGAAGATTGCGGCCTGCTGTTCCGCTACAGCCAGAAGGTCCGACTCCAGCCCGGGCCGCCCCCGAGACGACTCCATACTGCAGGCGGGGGCCGCAACCAAGGAATTGGTTCGCCCCAGCTCCGGAGGCGGTGGCTGCTCCTTTAAGGGGCGTTGGTAGAGGCTCGCCGATTGGCAGCGGCTGACAATGGTAAGGACAGGAAGAGCAATTTGATTGGTCGCGGCGACCAAAAAGTCCCGGAAGAAGAGCTGTTACTGCACAGCGGAACACACGTGAATGCCGGCCGGGTGGAGAGAAGGAGGTGATAGCTGCTGCTCCCGTCGCCCCGCCTTTTCTGAAAGCTGATGGGGCAGATCTTAAAGACCAAGGTCCTCAAATGCCGGAGTCTCGCGGAGAGGGGCGCAGGCTCTTTCAGTGTAGAATTGTCCCGCCAACGATGTGCTTAACACACCTAGTGGAGATCGGTCTTGGGGTTCCTAGAGGGGTTCTTGGGATGGGAATGGCATATCCTGTTTGGACCATCGGGATTGAACCTAGTTGACTAAGAAGGAGGAAATCAGAAATCCAGCATGAGCATGAATGGTCTGCTCTATCTTCCTGGGTGAACAGACCTAGCCGTTGAACTGCTCAGAGCGACCCATTCTGGTCAGCGCAGCGGGCCTCTGGGCTTTCCTATGCGTTTGCCACTCTTGTTCTGTGTCTCTTGCCCCTTCCACATTGAGAGCCGCTCCCCTTAGAGAATGGTGTGTGATTTTGCCACAAGGTAAAATATTCAACAAATGAGATGATCACAAATTTTGATATGTGCTATACAGCAAATAAAGTGTTATGATTGAGGATATAAATGAGCGGGCATTAGTTTAGATAAGGGTCAGGAAAAGACCTCTTTGTGAGACTTTTAACTAAAAAGAACCAAAAAGATCCAGCTACTCTCCAGGCAGAGGGAAGAAAACTTGAGCTACCTCTCAGAGACAAAGAAGTCTTGACATATTCAAGAAACTGAGGTCGGAGTGAGCAGGAGACATTGGGACTAAAACAAAATCTGCAAGGGGTAAAAATTCGAGTCAAGGGGCTGAACAGGCAGGCAGGGGCCACCTCATACAGGGGGCCTTGTAGTTCCTGTTAGGGAATGGAAATTTCTATTTTTTTTGAGATGTAGTCTCACTCCTTTGCCCAGGCTGGAGTGCGATGCTGTGATCTCGGCTCACTGCAACCTCTGCCTCCCAGGTTCAAGCAATTCTCTTGCCTCAGGCTCCAGAGTAACTGGGATTACAGTACAGAGTTTCACCATGTTGGCCAGGCTGGTCTCGAACTCCAAACCTGAGATGATTCGCCTGCCTCGGCCTCCCAAAGTCTGGGATTACAGTCGTGAGCCACCACACCCAGCCCAGAGATTTCTTCTAAATACAGTGGTGCAGCAAACATTGGAAAGGTTGTAAATTGCAACACACAGCCAAAGCCATGAGACATTCGTATTTTTTTTTGTGTGTGTGACGGAGTTTCACTCTTGTTACCCAAGCTGGAGTGCAATGGCGCAATCTCGGCTCACCGCAATCTCCGCCTCCTGGGTTCAGGCAATTCTCCTGTCTCAGCCTCCTGAGTAGCTGGGATTACAGGCACGCGCCACCGTGCCCAGCTAATTTTTTGTATTTTTAGTAGAGACGGGGTTTCACCATGTTGACCAGGATGGTCTCGATTACTTGACCTCGTGATCCACCCGCCTCGGCCTCCCAAAGTGCTGGGATTACAGGCTTGAGCCACCGCGCCCGGCCGAAACATTCGTATATTTATTTATTTATTTAAAGATGGAGGCTCACTCTCTCCCCCAGGCTGGAATGCGGTGGCACAATCTCGGCTCACTGCAACCTCCGCCCCCTGGGTTCAAGCAATTCTCCTGCCTCAGCCTCCCAAGTATGTGGGATTACAAGCACCCGCCACCACGCCTGTTGGGTACCAGCCCCAACCCTATACGTGTGTGCCCTTAGTCCCTGCGGTGTCAAGCGATTGAGAAAAGGAAATAAAGACAGAGAACAAGAGAAGAAGTTACAGCAAGCGTAGGAAACGCATTGGCCCCGAGCTCTGGGCTCCAAACACTTACTATGTGTATAATCTCTTATGATCATGGAAGGGGAGGGTGAAGGGGTAGGTAAGATGGGGGTAGGGAGAGAGCACTTGAGACCCTTCTAAGACAAGATAAACTAGTACTCTGAGTTTATCGCCAATGGTTACCAAGGTGTGGGTCTGACCACTCCCAGTGCATCAATGGGCTTTTATCTCCAGAGCATTGAGGACATACAGCAAATAAAAATCACCTCTTATCCTGAAAACCTAGGCAGAACCTGAGGGGTTCCGTGATTTCTGCCCTGCAAGGCTTTTCTCCTGCTTGCCAGCTCCCATCTGCAAAGACCCTCCTGGATTTTGTGAGCAGAGGTTGCCTCCCTTTCAGAGATCTTTACATAAGCCCTCTTTATGAGGCCCTCATACAGTCCCCATGTTGAGAAGGCATTCGTGTGACCAGAGCAGTATTGCCTGCTCTGCAACCACCCCAAGGTGTTCCCTCGTGTTACTGCACTCTCAATGGTCTTTACCTTAGGCCTCCTGTTGCCACTTGATTTCTATTTTATTTTATTTTTTGAGACGGAGTTTCACTCTTGTTACCCAGGCTGGAGTGCAATGGCGCAATCTCGGCTCACCGCAACCTCCGCCTCCTGGGTTCAAGCAATTCTCCTGCCTCAGCCTACCGAGTAGCTGGGACTACAGGCGTGCGCCACCATGCCCGGCTAATTTTTGTATTTTTAGTAGAGATGGGGTTTCACCATGTTGACCAGGATGGTCTCGATCTCTTGACCTTGTGATCCACCCGCCTCGGCCTCCCAAAGTGCTGGGATTATAGGCGTGAGCCACCGCGCCCGGCCTGCCGCTTGATTTCTAATTAACTGCACCAATAACATAGTTTAGTTCAGCGTATAAACTTCAGTGTATTCTGAGCCAAGCAAGCTTATAATTTTTTTTTTTCCAAGCCAAACTGTATCCAGCTTTATTAAAGATACTTTCCATAAACAATCATGGTATTTCAGGCAGGACATGGGCAGACAATCATTAACAGTATACAACAACTTTCAAACTCCCTTCTTTGATGGACTACCAAAAATCAGAAAGCCACTATAAAACCCAATGAAGTCTTCATCTGATGCTCTGAACAGGGAAAGTTTAGAGTGAGGGTTGACATTTCACATTTAGCACGTTGTTTAACAACTTTTCACGAGCCGACCCTGACTTTCAGGAAGTGAAATGAAAATGGCAGAATTTATCTGAAGATCCACAATCTAGAAATGGAATCACTGCTCTTTTGACAGGTGCCATCTCAATGGCATCACTGGCAAGACCAGATTGCCTGACACACTGGTAACCAATGACTGGGATTCAGGTCCCAACAGATGCCTGGGCTTAAGGGAGTTAAGTCTATGCTGAAAGACGGAAAGGGAGAAGAGGACATAAAAGCGAATTTGTTTTTCCATACCACAAGGCTTTTGTGTGCCAAGGTGGCCATGTGTGTCAAAGTCAGGGAATCCCTCCTCCTGGGAGCCAAGAGGAAGTCTCTCAAAACTAGAAGGGAAAGTCGTTTCCCCACATCAATCCAGCTTTGGAGACATTCTGTTAGTGACATATGCCCCTTCTCCCAAAACAACAATGAAGTGTTCTCTGTGCTAACAACATAGCTAAAAAAAAAAAAAAAAAAAAAAGGTAAAACAAAATTCTGCATTTTTATAAAACTTGATAAAAAATAGTATTTCAAACTGTACAGTCACCAGAAGTACACAGTTATCAAAAATGCACACACTTCACTTGGCATCTCCAGCACCTTCGGCTTTCTGTGCCTGGTCTGTTTTGGCATCTCTGTTTTCTGCAGGGTTATTCCCTTCCTTGCCAGCATCAGCTTTGACCTTTTTCCCTTTGGGTACCTTCTCTCGCTTCTTTGCAGGGGCCTTTTTAGGCTTGGGCTCTGGCTTTGGAGGAGCAGGTTTAGCGGACAACCTCGCGGATCTTCTCTGTGGTTCATCCTTCACCTTGGCTTTATCTCCTTTAGCATCCCCTTCAGCCTTTCTCTTGGGCATGGTGGCGACGGCGGCGGGACGTAGGCGCTGGGCACGGGATGTAGCGGCGCGTGGGCTTCCGTCGGTCCGGGGGTCGTTCTCGCCTCCTCTTCTTCACACTGCTCCGCAAGCTTATAATTATTTAGCTAGAATTAACAGAGGTCTCCCCCACACACCTCTTGACCCACACATGCCCAGCTAATTTTGGTATTTTTAGTAGAGAAGGGGTTTCACCAGTTGGCCAGGCTGGTTTTGAACTCCTGACCGCAAGTGATACACCCGCCACAGTCCCCCAAAGTGCTGGGATTACAGCACACCACCGTGCCTGGCCAGACACAGCATTTAATAAAAACAGTTTGCTAACTCTCCTTAGCTGACAAAGGTTGTGGCTGTTTTTTTCCATTTGGATAAAGAGATGACTTGAGGCAGTGTCATGCCAGCATTCACAAGTGCAGCTACCCCGAACGTCCCAGCACCACTATCCCCACTGCCTACCAGTGTCCTTCATCCTTCTGAATGCAGATTGGCTCAGGGAAAAGCCAACCCTAATGATAGTAGCTCACTCTTTCACCACAGCTGAGAAGTCCACAACTGTCAGCTGTCTGTATCTTACAGTCACCCGCAGCTTGACAAAACCTGTTATTCCTTTGCTGTGAGGAGTGGGGGGAACTAAAAAGGCCGGGTGCAGTGGCTCACACCTGTAAGCCCAGCACTTTGGGAAGCCAAGGCAGGCGGATCACTACATCAGGAGTTCAAGACCAGCCTGGCCAATATGGTGAAACCCCGTCTCTACTAAAAATACAAAAATTCGTCGGGTGTGGTGGCAGACACCTGTAATCCCAGCTACTTGGGAGGCTGAGGCAGGAGAATTGCTTGAACCTGGGAGGCAGAGGTTGCAGCTAGCCAAGATTATGCCATTGCACTCCAGCCTGGGTGACAGAGCAAGACTCTGTCTCAAAAAAAAAAAAAAAAAAAAAAATTAGCCAGACATGGTGTTGCACGCCTAGAGTCCCAGCTACTCTGGAGGCTGAGGCAGGAGTGTTGTATCGGACCGAACATAGAAAGCCAACATCAAGACAAAAGT